TCTTAATCTTCTAACAATAAATCTGATTAAAATTGATCTAAACTATTTCCTCGAAACGATATTTTTTTTATATAAAATTTTTAGAACAAACAAATAAATTTGATATAATAATTTTTTAACGAACAATCAAACGGCGAAATAAAATTTTCAGCAACCTTTGAACAATTATCAATGATTTCGTTTACTGATAAATCGAGATATCAAAATAAAAGAAAAAAAGAGACGAAGACGGACGTACGTAAGTAAACTGGATGCGGAATCAAGTGGAATGTTGGAATCAGAGGGAGAGAAAGGCGAGGAAGGCGAGGATCACATGGAGGATCGTTTCGAGGGTATTTCCTTTCCGCGCATCATCACCACCAGTTCCATTTCCCCATATAACGAGGGTGTCACTCGAGGCAAGAGTGTGACGTCACCATGGAGACCTGGGTATTGTCCTAGGTGGGCCGCTATCAACCTTCCATCCGCGAGAATTTCAGAGATGGCGCTGGTGTATCATCGGCATTAGCCGCGGTATTGTTTCGCGAGATTCAACCAAAATCTATGCGCGTATATCCCGATGCAGGAATCGTGGATGCGTTGACCAAAGTTGAAGATAAGTGGAAAGGAGCCCATCAAAATGAGCTATCCTTTTTCGTTATCCTTTACGATTCTTATCCACGTAGATACGAAGAATCGATCGAATTTATTTTCAAAGGGGAGAGTCGAATTAATCAAGCCAAACATGTTCCAATTAGAAATTATCGGCTCGTTCCAGAAAATAGGTGTAGATGAAATTTCTTCGAAATTTATTCACAGATTAAAGGGCGATCGTGATCTTTGTTTTCAAATTGGGATCATTCTATGTGTTTTCTTTGACACGAGAAATTTAATTGGAAATTATAGTAGTGACAATCTATCGATCGATAGAATTTTTATGAAATTTATGTTACATATATATATATATATATATATTGTCTCGACGAGGAATTAAGCGAAGGATAAACAGTTGGGTAACTTGTTGCGGTGGAGAAATTGGCAACTATTCCAGCGAGTACGTTGAAATTTGTGTGAAATATATTCCTTATCCCAAATCAAGTATCCTTCCCCGGATTCCGATGAATCGGAATATGATTTTTACGTGCTCCGATTAATTAAGTACGTAACAGGTGGTCGAGGTGAAATTTAAAAATTCTAGAGGAAAACCTACCTAGGATGCGACGCGAATTTCTGTGAACGATTATCGTTCGTGCCTCTCCTTTAAAGTTTTCTCTCGAATCTTGACAACAAATTTTTTCGAAATTTTTCGCGAGCAAAGAATGACTTGTATCGTGATTTTGATTAAAGGGAAGAAACGATCGATGGAAAACGTCGAATCTTGCGACGTTGCCGCGTTTCCACTGAGGGAATATGTCACTGTTGGATGCTCGTCTCACGACTTCCGTTTCCATTGACGCTCCCAGGGATTACCCTGCCTCTTACCGTGAAAGTAGACAGCGGGGAAAATGGGATTGGCGGGGTGGGGGGAGGTGGATAGATCTCGAGGAAATAAGGACTCGGGTGATCTTTGTCCGGATAAAAGGGAGTCTTCTATCCTTTACTGGGCGCGCGCGCGCGTGTGTGTGTGCATACATTCTCCTCGCGTACATACGTGTTCCTAACGTATACGTGGCACTTTCCTGATATTCGAGGAGAAACATGCTACTGTGTAATGATCTCTGAACGTTTTGTCGCGTCACGTTGTAATCCAGCAGGAATTTCAACGACGATAGATGTTTAACAACGCTTTAAATTTCTTTCCTTTTCTCTCTCCCTCCCTTTCCTTTTAAATTGTCGATTCTTTTTTTCGACCATCTTAAAATCGAGGATCTGCGAGTGAATTTTAAAATTCTTTTTTTTCTTTAATTAAAAATGCAACAAGGATAATAATCGAGATAATAATCCTCGAGACTGTTTATTATATATAAGATAATCCAGATCCGTGTATTAATTTACACTTTTCATCGATTCGTATCGTTAGAAAAAAGATTAAACGTTCATCATCATTATGCTAATAAAGTATACGTTCTTTCTTTGCAAACGTATTACGTATTACGAAATTACACGTTATTTATTCCATGTTTATTAAAGATAAAATGATACTCATAATTGAGAGTAATGGATTTCTAATTAAGCTTCTAATGGACTTTTAAAATTAACTTTTCAAAAAAAAAATTACACATATATATATATACACACATATACAACACGTTTCCTGGAAATCGTTAATATTCATGTTCGCTTCCGCGTTTATTTTACACGCGCATTAGTTTTCGCGCAAGAGGTACAGAAGTGTACAGCAATTTATTTATCGCTGTCATTAGCGTTGTTCATCGATTCCTTCATTATCATGCGTTCATCGTTATCTTTATCACCTCTCTCTCTCTC